CCCCATCATCCTATCCATCTCCTACTCCGCCCCCTCCCCATCATCCTATCCATCTCCTACTCCTCCCCCTCCCCATCATCCTCTCCACCTCCTACTCTGCCCCCTCCCCATCATCCTACCCTTTTCCTACGGTACTCCACCCCCTCGCCATCATCCCATCCATTTCCAACTCTACCCCTCCATCATCCTATCCATCTCTTACTCTGCCCCCTATTATTTTGTTTAGTCTTATCAGGAATGAAAATAACGAAGAACAAAGGATTGGGACCTCAACATGTCCTAATTACAAGCAGTATATTGTATTGTTCTTATGAACTAGGTTTGACGTTATGATTTACTTCTACATCTAAACTCTATTTTGGCAGGACCTTTTGTTAATGCCTTCCAGTATGTGTTGACTACTTTTGAGTTTGGCTTCCTCTGACTGCTTATTCTGCCAATGGGCTGCAAACATTAGATTTAATGTGATCCAACCTAACAGAATAAATCACAAATTGCAAGAGCCAGTTTTGAATTTAAGGCCTGCGACTGAACACGGCACAATTTAAATCAACGAGAACCCTCAATGTTGTTCACCTGTGTTTTGAATGACGTCCATTTTTATGTGGATGTTAAAGTGTGTGACAAATTGAAACAAACAGCAACATGTACATGTACTGAAAGGCCTGGGCTACATGCCATGCTATTGCCATGCCGAACTTAATTAAAATGAGTCCGGCAATAGCACAGCAATTGTCCTACATCGCTGAACTTAATAGAGCAGTGTCATGCCACTGGCATTTGGAACAACAATAGCAAATTGAGATATAAAAGGCCATACCGTGCCAAATTGCAATTTGCCAAGCCGAATTAGTGCTTAACACCATGTTGTTGCTGTAATGAACTTGTAAAAACTGTTTAAGTTTGGCATGGCGGTACATGTAGCACGGCATACACGAGTAGCCTAGGCACAAGTTTGCTATTCAAAAATAGAACTCGATAGCTGATAGCGAGGGAGCACGCTGACTTTTGACTCATACATTGGCATATATCAAGGGACCAAGTTTTGAAAAGCCAAGCAGTTTCTCATGTACAACACAGCACATCTTACCAGATCCTAATGGTAGAGTATGAGTTGTCTCCTGGAAGACAATAACAGCTGGCCCAAGACTGGTGAGTGATCCGCTCAGGTGACCCCTCTCTGACGCAGCCTTCAACTCCCGGTTGAAGTGACGACTGTACGCTTTGGAGGCATCCCCGAGAAACTGGAACAGATCCCTGTGGAGGCGGTCGGCCCGCGTGCGATACACAACCACGTCCGAGATGGCCAGCACTTTCAGGAGCAGCCGGGTGCGCTGGTTCTCGTTGGTGGAGACACCCTGCAGACCCTCCGTGTCAATGACAATGACACTGGTTGCCTCGTCGTAGGCCACCCAGATGCCAATGGTGCAGGAGTTCTGGGCGGGGGACGTGCGAAAGACGTCTTGGCCACAGAAGAAGGTGTGATTGAGGGAGTGGGACTTGCCATCCCCAGTATTGCCGAAGATGGATACAACCTTGACTGGCGTGTCAGGGGGACAACTCAGATGCTCAGCAAACCTGGTTGCTGTTTCAACCTGGAACAATGAAATAATACTCAGAATTTTTCAATGCTCAATGTGAATTACACTACAATTTGCGAAGGCCCAGCACACTCATCACGTCCTTGATAAACCTTTCCAACATTTGCAATGCATTATGGGTTTGGATGACAAATAAGCCATGCATTTTATGCACAACCCTAGGGGAGAAGTGTGTCTGCAAAATGTTAATCTGTTTGCATTTTGTTATATATACTGTATGTACTCTAATTCAAGCCACCAACTTCCCAGACAGTGTTGCAATGTAACTTTAGGACAAAGATTTTCACAAACTCTGAATTTTAAAGCTTGCCAGAAAAAGAAAATTTAGGGAATCCCTTCCAAGAACATTACTTTTTGTCTTGTGCTAAGATCATGAATATTAATGGCTAGTACTGACCAATCAGAATCACAACTTGTAGGTCATTCATCCCACACTGACCAAATTGTAAATTGAGTATGGACTGGTTGCTTCCTCGCACCTTAGGTTTTATGCATAAAATGCACTACTTGTCATCCAAACCCCACAATGTACTGTGAATGTCTAAAAGATTTATTACATGGACATACATGTACATGAGGGCACAGAACACGATTCTGCTCTCAAATATTTGTTCACTGGACCCTTAACTTTCATTACAGCATGAACACCTTCCAAAAATGTAAGTTTTTTCATGATGATGCAATTTCTCCATTCCATGGTTAAATGATGGCTAAAACAGCTTTCCTCAGTGACATAAACTCATTAAATTTTCATTTGAGAACATATGTATCTGTTTTGAAAATGGCATTCCTTATGTTATCACTTATGAATGCACTGTTCTAAGAAATGAAAATGCATATTCAAAACATAACCACACATTTGCAACAACCTTAGTGACTGGTGTCTGATGTGAGCCTGCAGAAAATCCATCTAAAAATCTATACCAACGGATCCCAAATATCATCCGATACCAGTGGGAGAAATATGTGTTATTAAGAGTATAAATATGTGCTTGGCAGGTCTTAACCATGCGTTTAAGACCGGCTCAGGAGAATGGACGTGACTAATTCCCGAGCCTGTGGCTCGGGTATTATTGGCCATAAAAAAAAAGACATAAAATCTTTAAAAATGTTATCCCATGATTACAATGTGTCAATAAAAATGGCATGCATCAGATATCCCTGAGAGACAGCCAAACACGTATGATATAAGCACCTGAAGATTTTCATTTTCATCAACCAGTAGGAACCCTGGCTTATATCTGAAGACGGGCTCCTTGGTCTTTAGCTGTATTGAAGAGAATGCATCGTCCTTCCCTGTTCCTTGAGTGCCGATCTGCCTCCGACTCACACTGCCTCTGGGAGACTCTGTCTCTCCGTCTCCCTCACTGGAGCTGATGGAGTTCTGCGAAGTACCCATCACTGATGCAACTGGCCTAACCAAGTTTGGCTCGCGACTTGGATTGGACAAGATGGGAGCCTTCTGTTGGGTACTTGGCTTGGAACGGGACATGCTGGAGTCACTCTTCCTTTGGTCACACTCGTCACCTACAGAGTGAAGTGGCTGTTGAGTAGTGGAGCTTGAGTATGACTTAGATTCTTGCTTTGCATTGACAGTATCTTTTCCAGGCTGGGAAGCTATTGCATGCTGTTTAGTTGATCTAGACTTGGGGGCTGGTTTAATCGATTCATGAGAATGCAGAACACTAGTTTCAGCACTGGGGGTGAAATGTCCTGAATTAAAAGAAAGAGCACTTGGTTCTTCAGACATCCCAAAGCGGGCAACGTCTAGCTCAACTGCTTTGGGTTTCTCTTTCATTACTCTCTCTAGACCTTCCTCCAGACTACGGAACTCATTGCTAGACAACTCATCCATGGCAAAAGTTTTGAATTCCTTGGACTGTCCTTCTGCCAGTCTAATATTCAACTCTGGGGGGCTTTCTAGTTTCTGCAACACTGGAAAAATGTCATCCAAGCAAACTTCAATTGCACTTTGAAACTCCTCAGTAAATGAGTTTACCGGTGTTTCATGCTCTGGCAAAGTTCCAGAGAATATCCGACTTTGTTCTGAATGGCTGTCACTCAGGGAAAATATGTTTGAGGTGGCTGTATCTCTCACTCTTTCAACCTCAACAGAAACATCCGAGTTTGTTTTGATCGCGACGACAATGGGACGGCGGTGATGTTTAGAGTGTTTACCCCTGTGGAAATCCCGATTGCACTCCCCGCATAAAACTCCTTTGCATTCAATACACGAGTACTCGGCAGGATTGATGGGGTTACACCACATTCCACATTTCTGAACAGATGCTGGCAATACCGGCTGCTGAATCCTAGCGCGAGAATGGTCAACAAACCGAGGATTGCTTGCGTGCAGCCGTTTCTCGCATTCGGAGCACTGCCTTGTTCCGCAGTCAGAACAATCAAACTCCGCTTTAGACCCGTTGCAAGAAAACCGCTCTTGACAGATTCGTTTGGAACCGGGATTTTTGTGCTGATCGGTCGTTCTGAAGTGAGCTGCCATACTACATAAGACCTGGATCAATACTGATTAACCTCAGTCATGTCACTTATGTTCATCGTTTCAGGAAATCCACCTGAAAACGACATTTCGGTATCTGAACAAACAGCCCAAGCATCTATTTTAAGAAATGATGACACACCATTCTTACGCTTAAGCAACCGGCTGATCGATTGCTGCCCGTTTGTTTTGGCGTTAAAAACCTATCCGTTCGCTTACACGTAGTCTAGGTACTAGGCCGTTTTTCAAACGCAACTTCTCATCCACTGCGGATTTGTCTCCCAAACAAACCCCAATCGTTGGTCTGAAATGTTCAAATTAACTTAAAAGTACTGTAATATTTTGCCATTCCACGTCTCATTTGATATTATGTGGCACTACTGGATTAGTTTTACATGTAAAACTTCAAAGTCAGCTGGTTAAAATAAGATGAAGCCTCTGTGAAGCGAATTGAGACTTAAAATCGACCCCCAGACTGGAAAAGAGAAACAACTGCATAATGGTTTCATAAACGCTAGACTCGACTCAAGTCGGGATTCTCTGTAAGGTTGTTGTACTTTTGATGGCGCTTTCAGCTACTCGGGCTATTTGCGACAATAAATAACACTCATCGGTTCTTCTAAGAACTACACATCTTCCAAAAGAGATTGATTCCACGGTGTACCCGCAAGTCTATATCTCACGCCAATAACTAGAACTGTACGTTTATTCATAAACTAGCATCACATTACAGGGTTAGGAAGAAAGTCGGGTTTTGATGGTTATGCTTTGTCCCTTGTAAGTTATGCTATGTTTACATTTAGATGATGTTTGTAAAAGTGTGTATATATGTGTGTGCTTGTAGTGTTATTTAATTTAATTTCTGGGGGCTACTACTACTAGACAGGTTCTGCTTTTTAGAGGCCCTATCCACATTTATTGCTGTAAATCTGTGATAGTTATGATGTGGAAAAATAAACAAGATTGATTGATTGAACAGGATGGATGATAATTATTATCACTATGGAGGCTGCTGCACGCCGTGTTACTTCTCTCGTCGCCCAGCGTCCGAACGGGGGGGGGCTGCTGATGGCCTTGCACAGATTTTAGTGAATAGAAAATACAAGAAAATAAGTAACACAGGGTCACAGCTAACGACGCGCAGAGCATTGAGTAAATTCCCTGCGGGCGAGCTCGCGAGCACGCTCAATGCATTCCACAAGCAGCTGTTTTCAAATTGATATTTTCTCTAGGCTTTTTCTTCCTCATTGCTGAAATATTCTCACTACATTTTATTTTTTTCCAAAATTGATCAAGATATGATTTTAAACATATCGCCAAAAGACACTGAAAGAAGATAAATTACCGCACTGTGATTGTACAAAGGCCATGTTTGTGTCAAACAGATGACACTTTCGCGGGTCTAAGCATCCAGGCATGAAATGGGACAGAAGGGTACCCTCCCAACAAGTCCTATCCCTATGCGCACCTCGGCCTATTGTTACTTAACACATCCACCCAGATGTCTGAAAAGAATTCCTGAAATACCAGTAAGCAGTATGACAATGACCAACACAAAGCCCCCCCCCCCCGTGGTTTCTCTCTGCCCCATAGTTTGCTTCATAGAAAGTAAACTCCTCGGAGCGTCATTATGGACTTCATACCTAATCCCACGACTGCATTAAAAAAATCGCTTCGTGCTGGATAAATGCACCAATTACATGAGGTGCGGGGCTGGTTCTTGATTCAAAGCACCTGACGGTGGTCAAGGTATATCCTCTTTTGGCAGTGCGTGTCATCATGTAAACAGCTGGGGTACTGAAAAACACTGGTAGAAGAAATTTGTAAATATTTACTATCCTCTTGTGTCGCACAGGAGACATCAACATGAACAATAAAATGCGAAACCTTGCAGGCTAAGGCATAAACTAAGCATTTATACTGAGCAAAAGGTAGGGATTTATTTTGTACACGTACAAATTTACATCAGCCACCCCATTCACACTCAGGCGATCCCCAGATGACCTTGCGCGTGTGTACAGTCCAATGGTCCAATAGAGCCTGGGCTACAATCGAAGATTGGGTAGCGGCGCTATACAATCTTAGCTGACCATGCGCCACGGAACAACACTACGTGCCGTCGCGTTCGGCCAAGCCATTGTATGATAGGCCAGACAATCATATATCATATAGTATATGTGGCTTGACATAACTGTATACGAACTACATGTACATGTTGATTCTTCACGAAATTGAATAGAGCTGTCGGAATAAAATCTCCATAATGTTGTCAACAGTGAATCATGCCCCTGCTGACAAAAACTGCGATCCATTGGTGTTTTTCTGCAATGGTAAAAAGGTAGGTTCGCCGTCTATCTTGTTAGTTGTTGTGATAGGTCTAATTCTCTACCTTGGGTTTCAGCTTTTCCTACCTCCATTTCCATGGTTGAAGTGGGCCAACTGACCGTTCTGTGCTGACGCATGATGTAGGTGCCTATGCTGTGAATGGAATAAACTAGTATCAAGACTTTGCCCACTATTAGTTAAGTACCTTTGCATCAGGGACTGCAACTTTGTAAGTTGTTACCCCCTTCAATGAATTCCTCTGAGACTCAAGTTTTCTGCATCTATCACGTCTATATTCATTCTATATTGTTTACTACTTCCGTGCTTTCCTGAACAAAACGAGTGCAGTGTTGCTGTTGATACAAGGGAAGATAACACAAAGACCTAGATCTTTCTGTTTAAATTGTGTTAAGCCCGAATTTACTCACTCAAAACATTTCAGAGGAAGGGTTGCATGCTTGTTTTTTATTGTGTGTGTGTGATTACCCAACCGTGAATCATGAAAGAAAAGAAAACTAAATCCAGCAAAATTTCTAAAAAGTAGGCATGGTACATGTAGGAGTGCTTTTCATGCTTTTTGGATAAACATTGACATGATGTAGGTTTCTATTCCTGGAATGGAATCACTTTACTCATGAGCATGGAAATATTGACGATAGTTAGCATAAAACTACGGCAGCAAGATACCCTTGTATATTATATTAAAACAAACACTGAAAATTGGGTTAACTAGAACAAAAAGGTGCACGTATTTAGGAGGTTTGCAGTGTAAATTTCCTTCCATGCTGCTTCCCTTTGAGCTGGTAATGTTGTCTTTTTGAAATAACAATCCTTTTTTTGTTAAAATCAATTTTGATAAATTCTGTTGACATTTTGAAATAAAATTTTCATTTGTTGCTCTCCATTACGGTGTCACCAGGTTGTGGATCGCCATGTGGGGCCAGAACTTACTTTACTCACCTACTTGCGCACCAAGTGTATCCTTTAAAAATGATGTAAATGTACACTGTACATGTAACATGTTAAGGCGCCTTTCCATATGTACCTTTTTTGGATGCGTTGCATACACGATGCGTTCATGCGCTTCGTTTTCATGGACACAAAAATCAACTCCATTAACATAACACACTTGTGCAATGCGTTTGGCTGTTAAAATCGCCCCGAGAGCTATTTTAATAGATATGCATGCTTGGCGCAAGTGTTGAGGCGCATATATGCAAAGGCGCCTTTAGGATTGTCATTTTGGGACTTTCGTACATGTACATGGTAATAACAGGATGTTTGTCATTAGCTCCAGTATATGCTTAGTATCTGATGAAATCCATGGCAAAACTTTCCATGAGAAAAAAATAAACTGGAAAAGGTAGTCCAGCAATAACAGTGTATGGTGGGTTTAGAAGCCCTGCCACTTTTTTTACTATGCACTACGTGTATATATGTGTGGATAATTACATGTACATGTGCAAGAAGAAAATCCTTAACATTTTAAACCCACAGTAAGGCTCACTGGTAGTAAACTTGGCTGTGGGGAAGGAGGTTGTGGGGCCTGTACTATCATGGTGTCAAAGTATTCCCCCAAGGACAAAACCATCAGGTACATCATTTCTGTATTTTGGTACTTGCTGGACTACAGGAACCGTCCTGACTCTTGAACTAGCTCCTGCTCCCTCTGTACTGCGCATTCACTATGCTTGAGTTTGAAAAACATCAAGCCCCATGTAAAAATTGCTTGGCTCTATATTCCTCAATTCTGCAAAACTTCCCCAAACCTGATGGATTTGAAGGATTAGGAGGGTATCAGGGTTTATTATTTATTGGAAAAGGAAAATGTTTTTTTAGCAGGAAACAAAGATTAGTGTAAGATGACTTTTGGTGGGTGGAGTAAGATATTAAGAAGTATAGATATTAAGCTCATTTTCTTCAGAAGATGCTGCTTTCCTATTTTGTGACTTCACAAATTTTGTCAGAGTCGGACTAAAGTGCACCAAAGTGCCTTAGCCATTGCTTGGCTGCATTTGCCTGACAAGCTGATTGATTTTCTGTAACTAACTGATGTGATTATTTTTTTAGTCATCTCGCTGTGAATGCCTGCCTGACGCCCATCTGTTCTGTGCATGGCATGGCAGTGACAACTGTTGAAGGGATTGGCAGCACCAAGACTAGACTCCACCCAGTACAGGTACAGTATTTAAAGATCTACTTCAATTCTGAGCGATATTTTAATGAAATATCTTTCTAATGCTTTTCATTATACCGAATACAGTTTAGTCATTCCTATTTTTCAAGAGCCTGTCACGTGGCTGGTCTTAAAGGTTCATAGAGCACTGGCTGCCTATGTCAGATTTCCTTTGGATCTGTTACTGAGGTTCTTTTTAATTTCCCTTGCTCTTTGACGGTTGCGGTTAACAAAAAAGCTGGTCGTGAAAGAAGCCACATCACATGTTCATGCATGTTTGAGAGTCAGAGCTGTTGAGCCTTCAGCATCAATGCTCCCATATTGGAATCCTGCACTTGGCAGTGCAGAGTTTGGGTTTTTGGATTAATTTAAACTGTTGTAAACTTTTTGTGTTGGTAGGAACGTTTGGCCAAGGCTCATGGCTCTCAGTGTGGTTTCTGCACTCCCGGCATTGTTATGTCAATGTATACCCTGCTGAGGAACAATCCCCACCCGACTATGGAAGAAATAGAGAGTGCATTTGAGGGCAACCTATGTCGCTGCACAGGATACCGGCCGATCCTTCAAGGCTACAAGACATTCACCAAGGTTAGCTACAATTTGTTTAAAATTATCGTCATGGTTGTTAATTCAATCGTGGTATGGAGACCCTTCCCCCACTTTCTCCCCCTTGAAGTCTTATGCACACGCCATTGAGCCTTTTGGTACCATCAAATCTAGTATCAGGCACAATTTGAGAACAGAAAATAGTGTCAGAATTATTGATTTGTAGCCATCTCATATTGGGCCGAATTGCATTGTGCAATATAACTACATATATACCATCAAAAGGTTTGATAAAGGAAAACCAATTGTTTTTGCATCAAAGTTTCAATGTAATGTCATAGTTTGCACCTCATTTCTTACCCGCTCTGCAAAAAGGTGTATTAAGTCACGTAATGCAAAAATGCGTAATGGCCCATTCCATGTGCTGAGGGTGAAAAAATTCGGAAACTTTTTGTGGCCAATTGCTTGACCAGAAAGCCTCTGTTGCTAAGGAAAATCAAGGGAGTGTCTAATTTAAGTTTAGTGTTTCTGTTCGTTATGTTTAAAGGGCATTTTCTCAAAAACCATGTTTGATAAAATGAAATTATATGTAATGTACGAATGGCAACTAACTCCAAAATGCCACTCGGGTGAATTATATATCAAATGAAAGCTTAGGATGTGAGCAATTTGATTATATATCAATAAAAAAATGTGACTTAATACACCTTTCTGCAGAGCTGGTCACATATATGTGGAGTCCCCTCATGAATTATGCAGATGAGTAAATCTCAAAAGCTCCAGAAACACAGATGTGAAAATGGCCTACCTTTTCAGACTATTGGTTGATTTTCCTGCGGGGCTAAAGTCACACACCTGTTATTTTATACACTTGGCTTGTTATGGATCAGTACTGAAATTAAACTGTGGGATTACAGGTTGCTGGTGAACTCATTCTTCCTTGTACATTGCCCTGATACATGTATATGCCACTGCTGGCAAAACAGCTTGCAAAACTATGTTCTGATATAATGATTTGCATGTAATATAAACTTGAAATGAAAAAAAAACCAGAAAAAACAAGGAAGTATGGCTCATGGTGTCTGAACTGGCAACATTCTTGAAATTTGAATTCTGTGGAATCATGGTGTCTGAGTGGACTCTGACTGCCTGCTGGCAACATTCTTGAAATTTGAATTCTGTGGAATCATATCTCTTTATTTTCTCATTGTTCTGGTTTTAGAGATGTACATGTTGAAAACTTGCATTCGCCCAGAATTGGTTTGCATAAATGCATTTCATTCCAGTATTTGTCTTATCAAATTTCAGGAAGGATGCTGTGGTGGTAATAATACAAACTGCTGTATGAACAATGAACAGAATGATGCTAGCCAACGGGAAGAAGGGGTATGTGCATGTCGATGTAGAGATCTCAAGAGAATTACCACCAAAAAAGTCATTAAATCTGTTGAATGTAGTTAATATCAAGGGTGTGAAATGTAGCCATTATAATGCGGCATTAGTACTTTAGAACTTGGATAATCAGACAGCAGGGCTGCTGCCTTGGTTAAGATTGCTGTATTCTTGATTTATTTCCAAAATCCAAGTAAGAAACCTGTAACAAAAAGCATAATTCATTCTGATCTATATTATCCCAAATAAAAGGTGATCAGTTGCTTTGCAAACATGTAGTCAATTATTATACATTTACTTGTCCATGAACAATACATGCTGTTCAAAAAGCTTGTAATTGTTCCTCTAAAATGGATCAATCATATCCAGACGTTGCAGACCTGACAAGGTGTTCTTTCAACTCAGGCCATTCATGATGTGCACATGAACATGCATGCATAGCAGTGCATAAGTTGAATTTGTGTGCATAGCTTGGTTCGCTTTAGTACCATGTGGGATTTACTTGTAGTATGCTGTGACGGTACGCAGTGTCTCGTTTACCGTGGTTTGCATGCATGGGGCAAAATTCTTTCCGCTAGCCAAAAAACCACTGAGACTGCCTATGGCAAACTTGGAAGAGAGCTCAGAAATGTACATGTAGGCCTGACCATCATGCAACCCAGGCACTCTTTAACCACTTCATGCCGGGGCATTTTTCAATGTTGATGATGCTGGGCCGGCATGACTGTCATTTTTTCTGTTTTCAAAATCCTTCAAAAATTCATCATTTCATTTAACGGTCGTTTATAGCCGCACCAAGTAATCTTTAGGCACAACTCTAAGTTGACAGGTGACCTTCATTGACGCCCGTGTATCTCAGCCAGGCCAGCAGCCTTGTAAACAGAGCCCAGATTGTGCGGTGTAGTATAACTGTCTTTTGTTCACGAACCTGGCTCAGTGCACTGCTGACCTCTTTTCAATAGGGGCCAAATTAGCATGCAGTGGTGCTGTGTGGCCCATAGCTGCAGTGGTGGAGCGCTTTTGTCCCCGGTGGTAATTCACTCGCTCTCAATGCCCCAAACCCTGGTATACGGTTTCAAAACAAGGCTGGATTATTACCACTTTTGAGAATGAAAAATGTCGCCAATGCCCAGTGGCCTGGTCTTTTGTTCGGAGTACGGTCTTTTGTTACAGGGCCCTGTTTCCTTTGTCCAAGTTCGGAGACCCCGGCCATGCATATAACCCATATGTCTCCAATTCTGGAGTCCCTGACAGGAAGTGGTTAATTCACCTTTCACCAAAATTGAATGATTTCACCCAAAACTAAGGCTTGTCATGAAAAACTGATTAATTAAGGCACTGCAATTAACCACTACCAGCCGGGGACTCCGACATCGG